CACGTGTTCCATTTCATTTTTAAAGACTCTAGAAACAAACTAAGCAGTTGATAACAGGTCAGTTGCAGGTGATAAAAGAGATTTTAGATGGGACATTACTTCTTTTTCCACACCTGGCAGAACCACACTATATCCTTTGCAGTTGTCTTTAAGCACTGGTATGTTTGTTCATAAACATATGGCATAAACAATACAGCGCTATTTGAATTCCAAGGATACAATGCATTTTTAAAGATAGTCACCATATGCCATAGATTCTTCACTGGAAAAATATTGATGTTAAATTTTTTTTTTAATTTAAACAATAAAGGCTGACTTATGCCTAACTGAAGTTTACCACTAAAATATAGTGGGACTTGAAAAACAAAGCTATTTCATTCAGTATTGTTTGGTTATTTAATATTGGAGGGATTTAAGAATCAAGTGTGTAAAGTACTCCTCAATTAATCCTTTTTTTTAAATGTCCCACAAAGTTATGACAACTGTTTTAGAGTAACTGATAATATTCAAGTATTATCAGTATCTGATAGTAAGAAACTAAAGAGTGACAGCATTCACACTTTCAGGAGAAGCTAAAATAATCTGGCTACTAAATACCCTAAATTTTCGTCAAGCCATTATTTTTAATAACTGTGGAGACTATAAGAGGCCAGATTTTTGTCTAGGTAACAATTGAGGTGTCCAGTGCTCATCTTATGTTGTGAGTAAATTTTAATCATATTATTTATAGCTGTCCTGAAATTTACACAGGACATAATTGTATATTTTCTTCTTAAAAATAGATTCTATGGACTCTAGTGTGGGCTGTTGACCCCAGGCAAATGCTAAAAAAAATGCTGTATAGTTATTGTTTTTTAGATTATTATGCATTTTGAAGCTAAGACAGATGTACAAAAAGATGCAGTTTTTATTTTGTATTGGCAGCTTCCAAATATTTAGTATCTATTTCCAAGAACTGCAATTAGTAAAGCATCCATGGTACTGAAATCCACACATCCCACAAGCTAATTATATTTGCAAGGTCAGATTGAATACATATTTTCAGAAAAATAAAGGGTTATATAAATGTGTCTTCTACTTGGCTGTTATATCACAGTTTGTTGATCTGGAGTATAATGTGTACAATTCACAAATTTGTCTGATAACAGAAAGTGGTGTGTGATTGTGTTTATTTTACTAACCAGTATATTCACAGCAATCACTTCCAAATATCTCTCCAGTAAAGATGTGTTAATTACAAAACAGACAAGGTCTTCTATTATATTAAAGCTACTAACAAGAAGACAGCAGGAATCACACATGTAAATAGCATCATCAACCCCTATTTTAGTCCTCTGTTTTGATCTGTGAGTTGCGCATAGACCAAAGGTGCTATTAAAGACTCAGTATATGAAATAGGCAGCATTATATGAACAAAATTTATTCAACAAGAAAACAGACCTTTAACATGAATTTAACAAGCCTGAGAAATTATAAACTCTCATATGCTGCAGATTCATGCAGTGATAATAAACAAAAAAGGAAAGTAAGAGGTTTCCTTAAGCTAGCCAAACTGCTAATGGTTTTGTTATAAGCTGTCTGCTGTTGAAATGACCTCTGAAAAGTCTGGAGACACTTACACAAGGAAAAATTAAATGGTCAGAGTGGTGAAAGAGTTGCACTATGGAAGTGCATTTAAAAAAAATTACCTTCAAATTTCTGGAAAGCATCCCAATAACATAGACTTCTGGTTAACTTTTTAATGTCTTTTTAGGAAAGGAATTTAGCATGAAGCTTGGAAACAAATTTTTACTAGAAGAATACAGGCTGTACTATATTATATAGGTAATTTAAGTACAATGAAAGCTTAAATTTTTTGGTTGGGAAATACTGACATTTTGCAACAAAAATCTAAGGAACAGAGTGGTGGTTTGTGCTGGGTTTAATTAATCCTTAGAAGTTCTTTGTTCAAAATACTGTGTCTAAAGTTTCCATCATAGAATAGGGGGTGACCATGTTTCTGTCATCAGTCTGCATCATTCTGTACTTCGAAATACACAAACCTAGAGGGGAGACTTCAACTTGTACACACCTCCAAGTGCTCACTGGGGCTTTTTTCTTGGATCTTACTGTGGCATAATTAACACCTACTTCACCCATTGCTCATTAGTACACTGGACATTAATGAGTTTATTTATTTTTATGTAATTCTCTAAAGGCAGGACTGATTTATGCTCACTATGAAAAAAGCAACTACATTTCATAGAAATGAATATGTAGAATTTATTGTGGTATTTATGTTTTTATTGTGTATTAGGTCTAAATTTAGCCTCCAGGTTGCTGAGCATGTTAGTTTCTTTAAGATGGTTGCTATAGTGATAGCAGCAAATTCCTTTAATCTTAGTGTAGTTAAAGTATTTAGTTACTATTGGTCATCAGAGTGCAACTAAGATGAAAAATAGCATTTGCACATCTACTTTTTGTACCCCTCTGAGATTGTAGGAATTGTAATTTTGTCCCTTTTAAAAGCATAATATTTGGTACTTGTGATTTCAAATTTTCATACTGCTTTCTGTTAGATTTATATTTGTTCTGCTTAGGAAATACTTGCATGTCATTCCTTCAGGAAGAGAAATAGAGAGTGCAGTGTATTCCCATGCTGCTTGTACCCAAAACATAATGAGAGTTAGTTCAGAATTAGTCAAAATTAAGATGTTTGAGCAATATTCAGTATCACTCAGAACTAATTCAGGAATTTACACATATATTTTAATGTGAAATTTAACTAATCTGAAAACTCTAACCAAAATGTTGAATTTTCTTGCAAAAAAAGTTTAATAATATTTTTATTTTACATGGCTCAAGTGGCAAAACAAGTCTATGCTGGACGATGCCGTTCTTCTGGATAAGCTCAACATTGTCTAGTACAGTTCTCAGTTAAATTCAGGTCTAGAAGCAGGGCTGTTAGTAAGCTATAAAGCAACTCCTTGTCATTCTGGTATACTTCCAAGTTCTCATCTCTTGCTCCTCAGGGTAAATTTTTGCTTGCTTAGGTTTTTTTCCGTTATCTGGCTAGTCTCTGGAGAACTGCTGGTGTGCTTTTTTGGGTTTTTTTTACCTTGCTTTGCTTGACTTTTTAATTTATACTGTTTGTTATGGTTGGGCATTTCCAGATGTTGATATATTAGAGCATCTGGTTAAAATGGAATATGAAGATACATACAAAAGCTTGTCACAAGTGTTCTAAGATAGAGAAAAATTGTAAAAAATGAAAAAAAACCAATTATTTCTTATGTTATGAGAAGTAATGTATAGATATATAATGACTGTTTTAAATATTTTTGAGAATTATTCTAAATGTAATTCCTTTTTCTGTAGCATTGGCATCAGATAGCATACTTCTGCTGCATTCTAAATCTGAATTGTGGCTTTTTTGTTGTCAAGAAAAAAAATCACTGGTAACTCACTTTAATTGGGTCACAACTGAACATTGTTAATAAAGAAGATCTTTTTTGGAAGGATTTCTGCAATCAGTTTGAAGACATGGCATATGCAGGTGGATCTGGCCAGCAGCTGAGAGACCAAGCAATAGCCCTTAGTGGCACTCAGTCAACACCACTGTCTCACTTGGGTCTCAAAAGTAAATCACAACTGGTGATAAGTTTGTGGGGTTTTTCTGTTTACACCTGAATTTTTTTTTTGTTATAAATACTTGCCAGTTAATTTCATTTCCACATGAAGGACCTCAATGTTTTTTCTTCTGATCATAAAAGCTACACATTATTTAGTTATTAATATTTGTGTAAATGAAAAGGAAAATGCTGGAACAAGGTGGGAGAATGTGTCACTTTCTCTGCAGATTTCTCTGACAGTGGTTGATTTCTTGTTTGTTCAGCATAAACAAGGTCCAAGTCTAATTCCTCAAAATATCAAACCAGCCATTTAAATGCTTCTGTTGTCCAACTCATAGCACAGAGGAGAAAAGAATAAAAATTATTACAGAAAAGCTGTTAAAAGGAGATTTAAGTTAATAACTCTCTAAAAATATGCAGACAAGATGCCTGCAAAGTCTGCCTGGCACTGTTTTAGTGGATGTGCAAGGCTGTACCTGCACTGGTCCAGTTAAAAGACTGGAACCTAAACAAGAATTATTCTTGCAGTTACAAACCTGTGCTGGTCAGCACACAGCAAGAGTGGGTTTGAGTGTATTGTTGGTAGGTTCTTAGGTCTGTCTCAGCTCCTATAGGTTTTGGACAGGAGTGGGGGTTTTATTGCATGGGACCATGAATTTCTCTTTGCAAAAATTTTTGTAGACAAATTTAGCACAGGGCAGAGTAAGAATCAGTGATGGGTTTACATTATTTGCAATCAAATAGCACTGAATACTGCCTATCGTGTACCTTTAAATCATAAATGACCTTGGTTTTCTTTTACTCTATTTTTTACTCCTGAGCATGACACTGACAAGGACTTTTTAATCCATCAGACAGTTTATAGACCCTTTCATAGTCACAAGAAGCAAAAAGCATCTGACTAGAAGGGAATACATGGGGCAAGTTCCTTGCTGGCTATAATTTTGTTGTCATTTCAAGTATTGTGGTAGTATAATTGATGTGACAGGACTGGGCTTTAGACTTGGTCCCTTAGCTTGTGCTCACTTTCAGTTTTAGTCTCTCTCTGTCATTCATTTTGATTGGATAAGATTTAGGTGACAAACATATGCATAGTTTTGAGGCTTAGAGTAAGTGCACATAAAATTCAATATTATATGGTGATATAATGTATATAAAACTTACAGTTCCATGGAAAAGGTAATAATTGGTGTCACCTTACAATACAAGGCAGTGTAGTGTGCTGATCACATAGCCAGCAGGAGGTTCTTTTTTATTAATATTATAATTAAATGATTTTCTGGATAAAGGCCAAAAACAGATGAGAGTTGATTGTGCCTTGTCCACTGTTGCTTGGCTCTATTGCTTGCATTTTCTAAAAAGAATTGACTTGACATCTTGTTTTTACAGGTTGTTATTGATGCCTTCAGATTGATCAATGCTAATATGATGGTCTTGGGACATGAACCACGACAAACAACTTCAAATCTGGGTCACCTAAACAAGCCATCTATCCAGGTAAACCCAGTGCTGCTAGTCCTGTAAATTGCAAGATTTATTTATCAATTTTTGGGAAAGGTACTTAAAACAGTACGTTACAAATTATTTATTGTTCACTCTGTTGCATTTTTCCACATGCATTTATAATTGATGTGATTCATCAGTGGACATGTGTATGTGAGGGGTTTAAAACTGAGCCCTAAATTACCTACCCAAGTGTCAATGCATGTATTTAATGTGTACAGCAAAGATTGAAGTATAAATTTATGGAAATGCAAACTTTTTAAAGTGACAATAGATGACATAACATGTGATGCAAGACAAGTGCTGTTTTCAGTCCTGCTGAAAAACTGCTGCTTATCAACATCTCATCTTTCTTCAAGTTAAGTTACTCAAAATAAATTATGGAAAAAGTTTTCTCTCTTTTTACTGTAAGTTTCTAGAGGTTCTTACTTATTATGTAATCTAGATTAAACCTTGTGTCTTAAATAATTAATCCCTGGTTTTTATGTAATGCAGTAATTTGCTGAAAAAATGGTGGAGGAGGATATTCAATGGATAAAATGGATGCTTGATTGGTTTCTGCTGTAATGTTTCTTTTGAATACTCATTTGTGAAACTTAAATATTCAAAGTTTGATTTCTGAAGTTGACTTTCACTAAAAAGACAAAAGTTTTGGTCATCACTGAAGTAAACTTTATTTTGAGAAATACCTTCTATCCTGAAATAAGTATCCTCTGGAGTGATTAATTCTTTTATCTCTGTCCTTCTTCTGCCTCACTGTTTTTTCCTTTAAAAACTCTTCCCCCTTACTATGGATTCTAAAGGCATGTGTCCTCGAAACCATGAAGCCCAGTTCCTGCTTTTGTTTCCATTACTTGAACAATGAAAGTAATATCTTGCTAGGTAAACATCCAAGAAAAAGACCATCCACTAGTCAGAGCAGAACTGAAATATTGGCTGAATTTGTGCTCTGAGAGAGCCGTTCTTTGAGAGGTCCTAGACCTCTCTCACCATATGCTTATCTGGTGAAAGATAAGTTGGTTTGTTTTTTTTTTTACTACTACTACATTGAAACTCTTGCTGTTAATAAAAATGCTGGCAAAAAGGCATCTTAAAATTAAAGATTATGTGCTTCAGGCTGTGTTTTACTTTGGATTTTTGAATTGGTCAAAACTGCAGACAATAATGAGTATGAAATAAGCAGCTAATACTCTTGATTGGATGTAGGCAAGCCCATGCTTGCATGTTTCAGGGCTTTTCTAACTGGGCTTTTTAGACCATGTGTAATGCTTTCCCTTGGAAACCCCTGCAGTATTGTTCAGCTTCATTATTTTAAGATCACTGTCACTACAGCGTGGCATATTTTGGCCATGGGATTTTGGGTTTCTGTTATTAAAATGGATAGTTTTTGTTTGTGTTGATTTTTTGCAAGCTGGCAATGAGCTGTTGCAAATGTCACTGTTATGATAAAAATCATAATTTTAAATGGTGCTCTGTTCCTAAAGCTGCAGGAGCTCTTGCAGTGTTGTTTTACTTTTATTTTAAGCCTTGAATAAAATTCTGACCCAGCTGAGGACAGAAGCAAACTAAATAATGATTTCAGCTGGACTAGAAGCAGGAATTACTTAGAAGACCTTACTTAAAATCTCAGGAAGAAGAATAATAGAGTAGTACATGCCTTGGCTTCACTCCCTTTTTCTGCGTTTTTTTCTTGAGTTCCCTTATCAACAGCCTTTTTTACAGTTGTTTACCTTTTACATTTGCCCACTCTTTTAAAGGGTAGTTTCTGGAAGGGGGGAGGAAAGGGAGAGGATAGTGGGAGAAGGCAGACCTGTTTGTCAAACTTTAGGAACTTGAGGAAACTTCCTAAATATCTACACATGAGTTTATGCACAAACACCAAAACCTCATATGCAGTCGTTTTGAGTGGGATAAGAAAATGGAAATTACTTACAGTTAATAGTTAAAACTATAAATTCTGTTATTGATAATAAAATCTGTATTTTACAAGCTTAATTAAAATAAGTTGCACAAGTAATGGTTTTATGTAAGTGCTAATTCTCGTAACTTTTCAAGTAGTTTTTTGTCCTTGTATATGTGTTTGCAATAGAAATCTATTTAAAATGTATGTATGAAAACATTTTCAGCTTTCATAGAGATAATTTTGTAATGCTGAAATATTAAAATGCACAGGATGCAAATACACATTCATTTTGTGTAGCTGTAAATATATATTAAATTTAAATAGATGGATTGCTTGAAACAGAAAATTTATCACTAATTCAGCATATTTATGTATGATTTATTCTATCTTGCTCATAAATGTAAACTTCATATGTGAAATTCTATTTGAAAGTAGACTCTATTAGTTGTGATGAAGATTGATCATAGAATTTTACCTCCCCAAATATTAATACAATTCACCCTTAAGTCATAAATGTAAAAGGAGATATCTAATGCAAGTGAGCAAAACAGAAAATACATGCATACAGCTACCATTAAAACTAATCTCAGTTGATCAGATTGTATTTGCAGAGGGCATACTTGTAGTGAAAAAGGTGGGAGTTTTTTCCTTCATTTACAGTTAAAAAATAAAATTAGTGTCAAAATCCAAGGTTAATTTGATACACATTGTCTAACTGAGGTTTTTGCTTGCTTCAGTTAATCCATCTTCATGTTGTACCCTGGAGAATGAACTTGGGGATGTTGACAGTGGTTATAAATAAATAGATAACAAATAGTCTTTTGTTTGTAACAGAGTATTTTAATAGGAGAGATAACCAAATTTATTGAGAGAGGAAGGATTTGAGAGAAATATGTTTGTGCATATGTATCGGTCAAATGTTTGAAGGCAGTTACCATTTTTTCTTATTATAGTTGCTACTGTGTGAAAAAAAAAATCTGTGGTTTAGAAATAGAAAACATAACTGTCAGTTAATGGACACAAAAAGAGAAATAGAACCAGGTATATTTACTTCATATCTCCTTGTAATTTCTGCATTTTTTTCTTGGTGTTTTTCCCCTTTTTTGGGATCTTTAAGGGTGTTTATATTGAAATGAGCTTTCTCCTTCTGGTATTTCTTCATTTCAGCAGTGGGTGATTTTAATTCAGTTTCTCCCCTAAATTTTGCAGGCACTAATCCATGGACTAAACAGACATTACTATTCCATCACCATCAACTACAGGAAGAATGAACTAGAACAGAAGGTAATTGTTTCAGCTTTAATTCAGAGTACCACAAGCATTATACAAAGTGTTGTGCCAATATTCTGATTTCAATGGCTGTTACTTTCAGTAATTGTTTAAACTCTCCTGGAATAGGTGGCTTCTCTTCCAGAAAGCCCTTGAATGAACAGTCATTGTGATTAACTTTCCAAAACTACATTCTATGGTTTTGACTACATTTTTGTCCACCTCATTGAAAGCTATCATTCTGTTCTCTGTACCTAAGTTTGTACAAAGTTTCAAGTTTTCAGTGATGAAGCTGAAAGACATACTAGCTGCCTTCAGTTTTCACAGGCTGGAATTCCTGAAACTAGGAGAATTTTTAACTGTGTTTTCCAAAATGGAGTGTATAACCAAGGGGTGTTGGGGTTTTCCTTGCTGTGATCACTTTGACAGAAGGTACTTCCAGTTGGTATGATTGCAACTCCCCAAGACGTCACTGAATATCAGGAAGTAGTGATGTCCTGCATTTACAAGAAGAAATACTTTGGAGTTACTGACAACAATCGTTTTTTGCTACTTTTGCATCAAATGTCTTCAGGTTACATGCAAAATGTAGCTTGAGAATCTCAACCAGGAAAACAAAAAGGAAGAAAAAAAGCTTATGTGTCATCTACAGAAGTTAATTCTTGAAAAGCCAGATTCTATCCTCTGTATATGTTCTCTGATACGTCTGTGCATTTTCATGGCCTTGTTGGGGTTATAAATTGATCTCAAAGCTTATGATGAAATTATCAGAATAGTTTTTTACAGAATTCAGACTTTCTGAGTTACAAGTAATAACAAAAAAAACCAGTTTCAAATAGTGGAGGAATATGTGTGCAAATTAAGGAGTTGGAAAGAATGTGTGAAATGCACAACCATTTTTAGTGCAGTATCAGACTTCCAAGACCTCACTGTTGCTGAAATGAGTAACTGATTGAACATAACCAGCTCTCTCAGGAAATGTCCATGAGGCTTCCAGGGGGTTATTGTTTCCAGTCAAATGCGACAATTGGCCAAATCCAGTCTTGTCTGAAGTTCCAAGTGTGTATTTTCATCAATGGCTTCATAAAAGTGAGTTATTACCTTTGCAAGTAGGAGAATAATCTTGAGCAAGTTAGAAAGACTTTAATCTGTGAGGTAACAACTCTCTCTCACATCTTTCATGAGGCAGCTTCATACATATCTCAAACCCCCCTCATGATGGTGGTGATCTGTTATCTCCATCTGTAGTAACAAAAGTACATGCTTCATGTATTAGATTAGGAGCTCATCACACCAAACCTTAATTTTAAAATCAAGATAGCCTAGCTAAACTGTCCATATGCAGTTTGCCTACGACTCCTTCTGTCAGCAGCTAAGATCTTGCTAACACAAATTATGACACAAACTTTCTTCTCAGTTCACATGTTCCAAAGCCAGGTTGCTTTGGAAGCTCTACAGAGGATGAAACAGGTACTTTTGTTCAGGTGATAGCAATTACAGGGATTACCACTTCTCAGAAATGTCTAGTAAATGTTCACAAATTGAAGGCAAGCTGAAACTGTTTGCTGAAGGGGTCCTCCCTATAGACATCAAGTGTGCAGGAGATCCACAAAATACACTTCCTTTATTCATGAAAATAAAGAAATTGCTATTGTAGCTGTTCCTTTGCTCTTTCAAGATGACATGAAAGTGTCAAGTAAAACCTTACAAATATATGTATTAGTGCCTGCCTTTATCACCATCAAATCTCTGCACATTTTATCCTATGGTTTTTATGCTTGCTTATTCTTTATGAGGCAAAGACACACAAGTCATGCTTTGGTCACTTTAAAAATCTGTTTTACTGTCAGTTGCTTGCATACAGATCAGATAATCAGTGAAGCCTGTGTAACTACTTTATGAATTTAATCCAAGCATTAAAATATTTTCAACTTCGTCGGAGGCCAAAAGCTTCGGCTATTCAACTATATGGCGGCTAAAGTATTCACTTTTATCTTAGCTCTGCCACAAGGCAATTGTGCACTCTTAACCTGCAGCAAAAGTAACAAATCACAGAAAACAAATCTATGTGTTCCTGTCAAAGTAAATTTGACCCATGTTTTCATGTCTCATTTTCATATTTAGGATTCAAGAAGTTCAATCTTTTAAAAGTATGCAAATCTATCTTCTACTCTGGTAGAGCACTCTAGTAGTTTATCATTGTATTTCCTTTATTTAAACAGTGATATTTTAAGATCTATTTTTTTTAATATTCTTCTTACTATAAATCAGTTGGCTGTCAAAGAGATCTTCATAGTATTCTGAAAGTATTTTGTTGTGAATGCTCTAAAGAGGTTTTGTTTTGCAGATGCTGCTAAATTTGCATAAGAAGAGTTGGATGGAAGGTTTGACACTTCAGGACTACAGTGAACATTGCAAACTCAATGAAACAGTAGTGAAGGAGATGTTAGAATTAGCTAAGAATTATAACAAGGTATTCATATCCCATAATGATAGTATAAGTGTAGCTGTGTTTATGAAGTGAAGAAATTAGTTACCTAATTTCAGAACAAATTGGTTATCACAAGCTTTGTTCAGAATCACTGTAGTTTGTACTAATCAGCTAGGTATGGTTTCTGTGGGAAGTTGCCAGATTAGCTCCTTGGGCATTGCCACCAGACTTTTGCCCTAAACTTTTGTCAAAGTGTTTAGTTACATGCTTTGCTTTGAAATGTGAGTAATCATAATGATTTTCTGTTTTTACTTAGTGACAAGAATATAAGATTTCTGTAGATCAAAATGAGCAGTCAATTTTTTCAGTCCTTCAGTCAAGGATAGTTTGATCACTGTGGCAAAGGTTATTTATCTGTGTCAGTCTAGCAGATAGGCTGTAAGTATTTAGAATGCATCCCAGAGCCCAATTCAATGTTCTCTTTAGATAAGAAATTTGTTATTGGTGTTGTAAGAGGAATCACAGCTGCTTGTAGTTTTAATACTGACACACTTAGAAATATTTCTTACAAATACTAGATATCAACAAGCATTCTATGAGTAGTAATCATGTCAGTATTTCTTAACAAGTGTTATTTTTTTAACTCCTCAGAAGTCCTTACAACCAAAAGTCAGTATCACATTCACTAGTTAAGTTAGTGGATGAACTTTATGAAGACACTGTATTTGAAGGCAACATAACAGTATCAAAATATATTAAAATAAACTACTTTAAACAGTACAAAAATTGAGATCAAATCTCCAGTAGTTGAAACCATATAGAAATGCTGGGTTCAGTTCTGTTTTATTATTTTACCTGCTTCAACTATCTTTAACTATTGATACTGCTCATTTAAGAATTTTGCTTACTAACATTTTGGTAAATGTGTGACAATAAAACCATTCATAAGTATTTGCCTTGATCTTTTGCACTAACACTCAGTAATTAAAACCACGTCTGCTGAAAACCTGAAGTACCTTTCCTTTTGACTTTCTGAAATGTGTTGCTGTTTGATTTTTTTCCTTTTTTTTTTTTTTTTTTTTTAAGGAACAGAATCGTATTTTGAGAATCTGTGGCTTGGGGGAAAAGTAAATGAAATCTGAAACACTGACCTTTTCTGTGTTTCTTTCACAGGCTGTTGAAGAAGAAGATAAGATGACACCTGAACAGCTGGCAATAAAAAATGTTGGCAAGCAGGTGAGGTGTGATGAATTAGAGTGAGGTGGAATGATATGCCTCGTTCATTCTAAATACTAATTCTTTACATGTGCGGAGGTGATTTTAGTTCTACATGCATGATATTCTCAGTGCTTCAAATAATAAATTTATTTTTGTTGGAGGTCATGCAATGAACAGGTCTTTGACTGTAGGTAATTGGCAGAATATCTGCAGCCATATTCTATATGTGTTTTTATTACATGCTGAGGAACAGTGTTGAAATTTAGTAGTTTTCCCTTTTCCATCTTCATTTGTTTTAACTTCTACTAAGAGACGTAAAGATATCCAAGTCTGTGTCAGAGAGACCCAAACTGTGGAGACACTTAAAAATGGTGATCATGGAAACAGAGGTGAGGGTGGTGTGTTTGTACATTTTCATGTACATTGGGATGTAAAGAGCCAGCTCACCCCGTCTTCAGTTCATGAACACACTGTCAGTGCTTAGCTCTCAGACACACTTGGCAGGTAGGCTGAGTTCCTTTGTATTGGTGTTTGAGGAAAACTCTTTAGGACCACAGCTGAAACTGAAAACACCCACTCAATTAATTCCATCCCTTTGCAATGTTAGGATATAATGTCTTTTTGAAGACTCAACAAAAAACTATTTCTACATTTGATTTCAACATAAAGGTTGAGGAAATGTTCCCTTCTGAGCAAGGGGAGAGCAAAGGAAATTTGTAAGAGCTTGTGTTCAAGAAGGGCAATGAAAACAAGAAATAGCTTTTCAAATATCTAGTGTGTCCTTAAAGAACCAGTACTTATTGTATTGCTAGTAGCAGTAGAAGAATTTAAAAGATTCTGGATTGCTCTTATGTGTCAGCTTCTAGCAGCAATGTCATAACACATCTGCACTATTGTTCAGTCACTCATGTATTTCTGTAGCATTCAGAACAATGGAGTTTATGCACACCTACACATACATAAATATATACACATAAAATATGTAAGAAGGGTTGTATTTTAAGGGTTATGATGTCATCTCAAACAGAACCTGAGCTTCACTAGTTGTTACGCATACGTAAAAAAACTCTATTTTGGAGCAGTTCTTCAAAAAGAAAAGAATTTTTTTCCTGATAAAATGTTTAAGTTTCCTTTAAATTAAAAAAATGATTCAGTGAAGTAATTTTCAAGTGGAATTTTTTGTGCAACTTAGATTAAAAGCTTTGTAAACAAACTCACACTATAGGGATATTATGTTACTAGGTGTATAATTTGTTAAGAACCAAAAGAATGTTGTAGAACTGTCTGATCTTTGAAAAGGAGTTATTTAAGGAGGGCAGCATACACAGATTCAGTAGCACTCTTTTATATAAATTTAGATGGGTTCATTACATTTTGACATTATTCCATCTTTAAAGAAGTTGCAATTCCCATGCATTATTGTCTTCCATATTTTAATTTCTTTACACACAAGAATTACTACAATAATACTATAATAAAGTTTAGACATCTTTTTGAGGCATGCCTGATATTTTTGCAGTATTTGGAGGTTAATTATTTCATATCAGTGGTGAAACTGAAGAAGTGCATGGGTATGATTTTCAACCAGAAATAATCTTATTGTTGCATGCAGATGCCCACAAATGCCTACATCAGTTGAGTAATACTGTGTAAAAATATGTATTTTCAGAAAACTGCTCAGGCTTAGCATTCAATTCCTAAGAGCATTTGACAGGGCATTGTTCATGTTTCATGTTTCTATGGGTATAGATACACTCATTTTCTTGCAGTCAATGCAACTATTCAAAGACTGTGTTAAATGATGCCTGAATCTTCACAGGATTAGAACACACATTTGCAAAGATCTGAAAACAAATTGCAACATACCAGAACTAAGATTAAAACATTGGCCTTAGTGAGATGTATAGTAAAATTCACACGTTGTGTGTTGTCCTTAAAACTAACTCTCAGCTGCCCATGATTACTCTTGATATGCTGGATAGAAATTTACTTCCTAAGCCTATCCTCAGCTTAACTGTTAGTACAAATTAATAAAATTTTGTTTGTGGAAATTCAGTCATTTGCTAGGTCTTCCTAGAATGGAAAATTTACAAGCGTTACTGGCCTGTGTTCATTAACTCACAGACATCTTAAATAGACTTGAAGTAAATGAAATCTTTCAGAGACATGTTTCAGTCATCCCTCTCATGGCATCCTTTGTATTTCAGGACCCTAAACGTCATTTAGAAGAGCATGTGGATGTGCTGATGACCTCAAACATTGTCCAGTGTTTAGCTGCTATGTTGGATACGGTTGTATTTAAATAACTGATTTACCGTTGGTGATACTTTCTGTGTATATTTGTTTATTGTTTCTAATACAAAACAGAGACTGGTGAGGCTCTATTTGATTAAATGGAGCGAGACATCTGACTTCATTTGCAATGTAAGTGCAGCACTATAACACCTCTCAGTCTCTAATTGTGCATTTGCTTCAGTTTCTTTATGTCAAGGTCCTCACAGATTCCAAAGCATTCAAGAACACGATGTGGGGAAAAAATTGAGTACCTTTTCATTTAATATTTGGGGGGAGGGGGGGAAATCAGTAAAACATATATATTTTGATTGTTGCAACATAATAAAAATACATTTACAAATCTGTCTTAAGTTCTCGACAATGTTTTTTGAGAAAGGACAGCGGGAATTAACAAACTAGAAAAAGTGTTAGTAAACATTTGTTTCCCCCCACTGTAAAACTACTGAGATACCAATTGCTAGGAAAGCAAAAATTCTCAACTGGAATTTGGCTCCCATTGATTTCCAGTTACTCTCATGGAGATTAAAACAAAAAAATCATAGTGCTGAATTCTGAGGATGTACAAAACCAAAAATGCTGAAAATTCCTCTGTCAGTTCCCTTTGAATATTATTCAAACCCTAATATCTATACAAGACAACTGACCTTAAGGAAATTAATTCAGTTGATGATAACTGAATCATAGAACTCTCACAAGCGGTGTCATAAATAGCAGTATTCTGAGAATAAACATTAAAGTGACAGAGGCTGTTCTAGGTTACATGAACCCACCCTCCTGTGAGAGAACATACATGAGACGTCCGTATATATAAATATGTGGAAAGAGTCCCAACTAGAATATGACATTTTAAACCATTTCCACTGGCTGGAGAGGGAACCACTTGCAGGAAGGCAGGTGGGTTGCTTGGTTTGAAGCAGGCAAAGCCAAATATTTGGGTTTGGGGAGTGACTCTGGGTTTTGGGCAAGGACCGATTGGAATTTTTCGTTAAGGTTCTTTTTTTCAAGCGTTGGATGTTGTTGAGGTTGATTTGATTCTTTTGTCTGGGCAGAAGTTTTCTTTTTCTCTTTACTGTTGCTTTGGGGCTTTTTTTAATAAAGAGCAACAGTAGTGGCAGGCTATCTGTAAAACTATCTCTGGTTGAAGATAATTTTTTAAAAATTGACTTTTTACTTGCATACTAAGGAATAACACTTAAATTGTCTTATTTTCTGGCTTATGCCCATATTTACTTACACTTTACCATTCAAAGATTTTTCTTTTGTTTGAAATTTCTTATTGAGGCCTTTTAATTTACTATTTTAGACTAACTCTCTCTCAAAGTATATTTAGCGTGCACTTACTTCAGAGGGAAACATGCAGATTTTTGCAGCTGCCCTCCTTATGGCCTTCCCTCTGCCCCCACAGTAGGCAGTGGAATATCAGACTGGGAAAATGGAGACATACCAAACCACATTTGCCTGCGTGTAGTTAGAGGGAAGTTCTTTCTGGAGATTGCCACTGCAAACCCGCGGGTGGTTGAGGAGGGCTGCAGTCAGGCCTCGCGTTGCCGGCTGCGCGCCCGGGGTGAGACGGGGCAGGAGCTGATCGAGGAGCCTGCCCCGGGGCTCGTCTGCCGGGGGGCTCTGCATCCCTGCCGCTCTCTACTCCCACACACACGTGTAACACCACGAGGGAGACAGAGTTTGGCAGGTCGTGGGTAACATGGCACTGCAGAACAGGAGAGGAGCTAGCGCAGTGCTGCAGTGTATACATGCGTGAGAGGCTGGTGTAAGCAGGGAGACAAACCAGTGAGTCTTACATATTCTAAATTAATTTTGACAAATGTACATCTTGCAGAGGGTAGCTGAAGGGAGTCTGTTGGAGACGCAGATCTCCCGTAGTATAAGCTTGTGCTGTGGTGCCCTGCTTTCTATTCACTCCTCAGTTTAACTTGGAGACACAATTTTCCATTTACTAACATGTTACATGAATAATAAAAAGGCAGGTTTTTGGGGCATCCTTCCTTATTTTTGTCCAGTGCTTCAGGAGCTACACAGCGGATTTGGAAGAATTGTGTGTATGCCGTAACCTGAAAAGCAGCAGCCCATATATGATGTTGGAGGAAGAAAGAGATTTTCAAGCAGGCACCTTCTGAGCCTCCAGCCGCAATGGAGCAGACCTTCATTAGCAGCATGACCCCTTGTCACCTGTCAGCGTGAAGGACGGGCATATTGTATTAGCAAACCTCACTCCATTCTATGACGATTCTGTAACACCACCTGCCATTGCATATCCCCCCTATTATACCAGTTTAGGAGTTGTGCACTGAAGATTTTTGGCATATATTAGCACTTCCATGTGATTGGCAGTATACCACTGAATTCATTGCAGCTCTTCATCTATATGGCTGTAGCTCTGCAATTCAGGGCAGCGTTTCTGAGGGTTTATCTGCATTTTGGTCCATCTCCTGCTGTATAAGTCCATTAATGTTCTGTTGTTGCAAACAGGGAAAGGGAAGGGTGAGCACTGGTGAAGCAAGTGTTGGAAACATTAGTTAGAACTGATAATAATGAAACCGTTTTCTTAACACTGAAAGAAGGTGTGTGTGGAAAGTTGCATGCGCTGAACCACTCGAGTAGAACAGTGAACTGCTTGCTTTTTGCTTCATAAATTGTCTTATTAGAATAATTTCCTTGCAGAGAGTGCGTGTATGTCGGCATCTATGAAACACCAAATAACCAAAGTAGCTCACGGTTAAGAAACAGAAAAATAAATGGCCACGGGATTTGAAAGCATTGAAATACACATTCTGTCAAGTCATCCTGGTTCTAGTCTTCTCTGGATTTGAGTTTGCAAAGTTTCAGTCTGGCTTCAGGCAGTTATGCCGTGGTTCGGTTTATTATGTGGTGGTTCAGGCTGCATTATCTGTCAGTGAAATTTGAAGCTGGCTGCCGATGTCCCCTGGGAAGAGACGTGGTCTGTAAAATACCTGAAGTCCAACCACTAAGGGGACAACACTAAGAGAAATGGAACAGGAGAGCTCCTGCCCGGTCAAAAAAACCCAAACCCCAAACGCACAAAAAACCAAAAAACAAACCCCATGCTTTTAAACTCTCGGGCAGGCTTTCCTAGGAAGAGAAACTGGTACTGGTGCTTGGCCAAGGCGGGGTGGCGAGCGGGCCCCCTGAATTCGGACGCATCTTTGCGCCTTGGAGGGCCCCGCTCTCAATAGCGGGG